AGAGTTCAGCACGGCTTCTTTCTGTCTAACCTGCATGCCAGTCTGGGGTTGGTAATGGACGTGAGGGCTCTGGAGAGTGCAGTTTGCTGCACATCACAAGGGTAGGGTGCAGGCTGTATTCAGTTGGACTCTGTAATGCACTGGAGAAACAACCAGAGCATATTGTGTTTAAAAAAGAATTGTGTTGCATCAGTGAAAGTCGGCGATGAAATATGTTCTAATCTGCTGGCTGTGAGCACAAGGGAAGCTTTGTCCAATGGAGCTGAGTTTGAAAATTGCAGAGCCTGCTAAAAGTCTCAGCAGACATGATGTCCATGTACACACAGAGCACAATGGCAGTGGGTCTTTAAGTTAGAAGGTAACGTAATGAAGGCTTGTCATTGTATGGAACACAGGTATCGACATGTTAGGAACGTTTATTTGCCTTTCATTTGTAACTGTAGTATTTCTGTGTATGTACGTGTGAGATAACATCTCCTTGGATTTACAGCTTAGCTTTTGCTTTCTGGTGTGTTTGTTACATCAGAGTTCTATTTTCTTGAAAGGAAAAATAAAAAAAGACAATTTTAATTAGGACAGGAAATTCAATTAGGACAAGAAGGAAACTTTCCTTGCTTTGCCCTTTGTTGGCCAATTAGGAGTATTTACAAACACTGAAGGGCCTATAATTCTAGTTCATTAACTCAGTAACTTACACTAAGATGAAATGATGAAATAATCTCTCCCACTGAAGACGTGCTTTGTCTGCCAGAGCCCACAAGGTGGAGTCTGATGATTTCATATCATAGAATTCAGTCATTTCCCTGCTTCTGCCTTTGGATTTACCAGAGCAGTGTGTATTGTGAACATTATTGTGTTGCTTTGCAGCCTAGCATATGCTTAGGAAGGCCGATTTGTTTGCTCTGTAGCTTGTTTGTTTGTTTGTTTGTTTGTTTTCTCCTTCAAGGAATCTTAAGACAGTTCATTTATTTCAGTTTGTCAGGTGCTCAGTTTCCTTCATGCACTCCACAAAATGCTTTCCATTAAGTAGAGTGTTGTCTTTCATACCTGTTCTGGCTAAGTAAAGAACTCCGCAGTGAGATGTGTGGAATTGTTGGCTGGGTGTCAGGACAGATTCTCTTCCCCCTTCGAGGCTGAGGTATTGAAGTCCTGTGAAGAAGTTGTAGATCTCAGCTTAACCAGCATTTTGAGCTTGTTTTCCCAGATACCTGTTTGAGTCCTCTGAATACTAACTGTACTTCTGACCAAGTGAATGTTCCTTACCAAAATAAAGTAGGGACAAATATTCTTTGGATTTCTTAGCGTCTTACATCGAGCTCTCAACATAATCGTGGGATTCCAGAAAGAAAGCAGTATGACAGCATTCCCTCGGGGTTGGAAAGTGACATGAAATTTAGGCAAGTGACTGAAGAAAGCAGAGGCAGTGTTATTGAGGTAGATTATGGGAACACAACGTGTTTTGAAGTGTTTTTAATGGAAATGCCCTTTGCCTTTGTAAAAAAAAAGGAATAGCTAAGAACCCCTTTGGGAAAAGGAACTGTCCGCAAGAGTTTACCTTGGAGTGGCTTTTGCCAAGATACAGTTTGTGCATCAGATTTCTTTCTGTTGCAGGTGTGTTGAAGCAGTAAAAGCTTCCCACTACGTAGAGTTAGCCAATGACCTGGAGATAAATAAAGCCACTACTTATCTGAGACAACGGGATTTTAACCAGGTATAGTAACTTTTCCCATCCTTTCTTTTTCATATGGTATTGTCAGAGACATCTTATGTGGCCGCAGCACATTTTTCAGCAACAGTAGGAGCAATTTAGGCAAGCCCCATGATTGTATTGATGCTGCTCGTGAAGGTAACGTAGTACTGGAGAGAGAACAGTTAATCTCAGTGAAATGTCTACTGTAGAAGTTGCAGTGAATGCAGTTCACTTCAAAATTAAGACACCTGAACTCTTTGTCAGGACTTTCCTGGCTGTCCGAGTTGTGAGTACAATTAATGCAGATGGAGTCAGAGCAGTCACTGGAGCCCTGAGGGCAGTTTCTGCTGGTGAATTTTATGGTGATCTGATCTCATGGCAAAAACTGTTACCAGTCTCTTGTTCATATGTACAGTGTAATTTTAGCTACAGCTTTCCTTTACCGTGCATGTAGATTGCCACTGAAGGTGTGTATAGATTTATAGCACAGCTTCCAAGGTTCCAGCTTTTGTTATTGTCTCATGGCATCTTTTCGTAGGAAGTTTTAAGTCAAATGCACTTCTTCCTTTTAATCAGTTTTCTTACAGATCAGGACAAGGGATAAGAGCACGTTTTCATCATCTCTTTGCCTATGAAAGAGGTTCATTTTGAAGTGATAGCAGTTAGCAAACACCTTCATCTGAACAGCAGAACTCAGATGGGATTTGCTCAGTTTCCTTCTCCCGTGCTTTGTGGTTTGTTTTTCCTATTTAGTGACAGGAATCAGTGCTAAAGGAGAACATAGCAGTCCAAGTTAGCATGAGTGTCAGGGAATATGAGAGATGATACAGAGCAAAATTTGAGCTGAATCTCACTACCTCTGTCATGGTCTAAGATCTTTCAGCTTCCCATCACCTGGAAGGATGCGTGCAAGGCCATGTGCTTGAGTTCACCTTCCTTTCTGTGTATTTGAGCTCTTCTGGTTTCTGGAGTTTTTCCTCTCCTCCCTGTCTCCTCCCCTGCACGTTTGTTTCTCAGTGCTCAGTGTGTGCTTTCTCAATGCTGTGGTGTTTGCTTCAGTGGGAATTCAGCAGTTTCTGAATTGCTTCTAGGCACTGGAGACTTTCAAAATGTTTGAGAGAAAGGACAGCAGAGTAAAGAGTGCAGCTGCAACAAACCTTTCGTTCCTTTATTATTTGGTAAGTGTGTGCTTCAACAGTGAGGAACCAAACCTGATGCAGCGATGTCTGTGTCTTTGTAGCAATTTCTGTGTTGATTTGAACCTGCACAAACAGCAGGAAACGGCATTTTAAAAGAGCCCTACTGGAACACATTTCTGTGGCTATAGTTTGGGGCATGTCCTCTGTCTGCTCTGCTGGGTGGAACGGTGAGGTTGATGTCCAGGCCACAGAAGTAGACCTCAAGTATGATCTGTGCTGAAGTTCACCTCCTGCATTAAAGCCTGTCTCCCGAAGCCCCTGTCTGAACTTCAGGGACGTGTGCAGTATGTAGGTTAGTCAGTTATGTTTGTGTGTGGAATTTGTAGGGTTTGAGGGATTTTTTTTGTCTCTTGTTTTTAAACAAGCATTCACTGTTGCAGCAGTGAAAACTTCCAGACTGAATGGAAGGGGATGGCAGGGCAGGTCTCAAGTGCTAATTTCTCTGACATTTTAAAGAGATTATTGAAATGCATAAGGAATATTTTCAGCTTGAAGAGTCTGTAATTTTTGTCATCCTTAATCTTTTGAAATTCTACTCTCGTGGTACCCATGAGAAGCCAGAAGTGCAGGAAAACTAACTGAGAAATGACTGATACAGTGTTGGTTTTGTTCATACAGGAGAAGGAATTGGCACAAGCAACAACCTATGCAGATTTAGCTGTCAGTTCTGATAGGTACAACCCAGCAGCACTAACTAACAAAGGAAATACTGTTTTTGCAAATGAAGACTACGAAAAAGCAGCTGAGTTTTATAAAGAGGCTCTCAGGAATGATTGCTCTTGCACTGAAGCACTGTATAACCTTGGTAAGCCAAACATGCTTTTGTGATTGAGTTTTTGTCTGAAGGTAATGCTAGTGTTTCTGAGAATCTGGCTTTTACTCTTTCCTTGTGTATGTATGTATGGTAATTGTTAGGACTTTATTCAGTAATTTATGTTGTAGTAGTCTATGATCTTCCTGTGTCTTCTACAAAAAATGAACCATGAACTCATCTGCAATTACCAGTTGGTGATGGTAAGTCACTTAGTATATCAAAATGGACGTAGATATTGCTATCTACCAGACCCTGCTCATTTTAGCAGCATTAAACCATTGCCAGCATTGTGCTCCTGGGAGCCATTCCTTTTCCTCATTCGTCTTGCTCAAAAAGTGAGATGAGTTGTGTTCTTGGCCTTTGCTCATCTTGGTGTTCCTTGCCTTTATCACCTAATGTTGTAACAGCGGAAAGCATTAAAGAACTGTAAGGGTGATTTAAGTAGTAGAGATCACTGGTGTCAAGGCAGTTACAGCGCTGTTGGCTTTCATGTCCCTACTTATTTTTCCTGGTTCTTCTCTTAATTAATGAGCTGAATCCATCTTTTTCCCATTGCGCTTACGTTGTCACCTTTTTTATTTTTATTTGTTAGGTTTAACATACAAGAAGTTAAACAGAATAGATGGGGCTTTGGATTGTTTCCTGAAACTCCATGCAATACTTGGAAACAGTGCTCAGGTCCTTCACCAAATAGCAGCCATGTATCCTTTTCTGTGTTATGATGAGGGATGAAGCCTTTGGTGAGCTCATTTCAGCTGAAATACGTGTTTAAGCCATGTCAAGTAGACTAAGAAATTTTCTGTGGCGTCCACTATGATGAGGATGATTGTCCCTAGATTGATTCTCTGATATTTATAAAAACAAGGCCGGAACTTAAACCTTCTGTGACATTTCCAGTGAAGCAAGTGGAGAAATATGTTAATGCTGCTCCTGCTGCATTAATCAGCGTGTGTATCAGGGAATAGCTCAACACTGACGGTCAGTGTTAAAGTATGTCCTGGAGTATTCAAAATGCAGCTGATTTTATTCTGGTAATAATGTCAGACCTGTAAGCACAGTTGGATAAAGCCTTAAAGAAAAAAATAATAGGTGTAATGAAAGTGCTGTTCTGTTGGGAAGCTGTGCTGAGGCTAGTGGTTCATGTAAGAATGGAATTGTCTCCCAGCGCTGCAAAAGCAGAAACAGATTGAAAAGCCAAGCATAGGGTGGGTTATGTTTTGTCTTCACACATCACCAGGGGTATGCTGTAGCTGAACATTGTTTAACAGTGTTTCTGAGAATGTGCAAACCCTAATAAAACTGTCCCTAAAGCAGAACAGATTCCAATTGCTGCACTGCGGTTTTAAGAATGAAAGTAAGAGATGAGACAGTCAGCAACCTCCAAAAATGCCAGAGGATTATGGTTTGTATTTCTTGCCTAGCCCATGTTCAAAAGCATACACTACAATTGGATCAGATGGAGAATTTCTGTGCTCCGCAACTACGTGAAATAGTTTTCCAACAGTGATTGCAGGCTTCTTCCATGAGAGACAGGGTTCAGCAGAAACTTTAACGTTGTGTTTGGAAGTAGCTGTAGCTCAGACTACTGCAGGTGGCAGCTGCTGTGTGGCTGAGGAGGGGAGAGCGTGCTGTAGGCCTCGTGAAAATCAAAGCTGCTTCTGTAGTCTGGGCCAGAATTCAACATTTCCTATGCTGTCCTTCTTAGCCATACAGCAGAAGGTTTCTTGGTAGGCAAAGTCTGTTCTTAAGGATAGCACTTTTGCTTAATCAATTACTTAAGGACAAAATGACGTATTACAAAATAGAAACTCAAGTGTCAAGGTTAGAAATAGATGAGAAATGATTCTCACACTTGACTCTTATTAAAATATAAGTGAAATTATTGGCTGACATAAAAGCTACAACTAAGCCCAATTTTATTTTTTTTTTTTAATTTTTTTTTTAAGGTGAAAGAGCAGCTGAAGCCTCTGATCTATTTTTCTTATTTTTGGCCGAAGATACTTGCTGATGATAAAGAAAATATCATAGAATCATATAATGGCTTAGGTTGGAGGGGACCTTACAGATCATCCAACCCCCCTGCTGTGGGCAGGGTTGGCAGCCACTAGGTCAGGCTGCCCAGGGCCCCATCCAACCTGGTCTTGAATGCCTCCAGAGGTGGGACATCCACAAACAAATGTCTAACGTAAATCTCCCTTCTTGTAGTTGATAGTCATTCCCCCTTGTCCTGTCACTGTCAGAAAGTGTGGAAAGTCAGTCCCTCTCTTGCTTGTGATCTCCCTTCCATTACTGGAAAGCTGCAACGAGATCAGTGCGGAGCCTTCTCCAAGCTAAATGAGGCCAGCTTTGTCAGCCTGTCTTCACAGGAGAGGTGCTCCAGCCCTTGGATCATCTTTGAGGCCCTCCTCTGAAGCCACTTCAGCTGCTCCCTTCTGCTGGGGGCCCCAGAGCTGGGCGCAGTGCTCCTGGTGGGGCCTCGCAAGGGCAGTGCAGAAGGGGATAATCCCCTCCCGCTGCCCGCTCTCTTCTCATGTAGCCCAAGATGCTGTTGGCCTTTTGGGCTGTGTGCTCCCATGAGCTGCTGGCTCATGCCCAGCTTTTCATCCGCCAGCACTCCTAAAGTCCTTCTCCGCAGGGCTGCTCTCAAGGAGTTATTCTCCCAGCCTGTATACGTATCTGGCATTGCCTTGACCCGAGTGCAGCACTTGCACTTGGCCACTGGATTTTCTGTGATTCTAAATACTAGTGAAAAATGGGTTATGTGGCTGTGCTGGGAATGCTGGAGCCACACGCATAATTCAGCTCCTCTGGAATGTCGTCTTTCCTACTTCTTTGCCAGAGTGTGAAAAGTATGTTTACCAGCCAAGTAATAATGCAGCTATGGAGAGAGAGGAGAGTGCAAGAATTTTTCCATGTGGTAGAACTCCTTCTTGCTGTTACAGGACTGTGACATTAGCAGGTGACATAAATATGAAGTACATCATTTATGTTAGTGGCAAATATTAAACTGAAGAAGAGTTCCCTGAGAAAGCTACAGGCTTTGAAAGGTATGAAATCACAACCTGTGTTGCATTGAGAGCAGTGTGTGTTCTTAATTTGCTTGTTATTCCTGTGATAAGGTAAGATCTTAAAATCAGCTTGTTAATTGGAAAGCATTGTCTGTGTTATGGAGCTGCAGTATACTCAAGCTTGCTCTTTCTTTCCAGTGAATTATCTGCAAACTGCATCGTCACATTAGGGCACATTGAAGTCTTAACTAATTTATGTTGTGCTAGTAAGACTTACTGGCTCCCTTTCAGTGTTGGATAATGTGTAAAAACATCCTTAGTTACTGCAGTTTTACTTCAATTCCAGAGGGTCTAAGTATGCACGTGTAGAGTGGAGCATTTCAAAAATGAAAAGAACTCAGACAGGGGAATGCTGTTGAAAGGATTCCAGCTTTGTGCTACAAGCCTTCTTGGTGGGCCATTTGAAGTATGTTGGTTTGGATTTTCTGTGATGTAAACCTTAATGCTTTTTGAAAAATGAACACAAGAAGGCAGTCTGCAAATTTGGGGGGTCAAATATAGCGGGGCTGGTATTCATCCATGTCTCTTTCATAATGGCATCATTAAACAAAGCAGATAGCCGGATATTCCTATTCTGAAAACTCTGGTTTGAGACCTCTCTGAAGTGTGTTAAAGAGGCTTTCCTTAGTTGCTAGACAGTCTCACTTCAATGTCCGTGATATCCAGAGTTCTTTGCAATAATTCTCAGTGCGGTACCCAGGAACGCTCAGCTATGAAACCAGTTAAATACCAAAAGGGTTAAATGCCAAAGGGTTGTGATCAATGGTTCTGTGTCAGGGTGGAGGCCGGTCACAAGTGGTGTCCCTCAGGGGTCGGTCCTGGGACCGGTGCTCTTCAACATCTTCATCAGTGACACAGACGATGGCATCGAGTGCATCCTCAGCAAGTTTATGGATGACACCAAGCTGAGCGGTGCAGTCGGTACATTGGGAGGAAGGGAAGCCACCCAGAGGGACCCGGACAGGCTGGAGAAGTGGGCCCATGTGAACTTAATGAGGTTCAACAAGGCCAAGTGCAGGGTGCTGCACTTGGGTCAGGGCAATCCCAGGTATTTATATAAACTGGGGCAAGATCTCCTGGAGAGCAGCTCTGTGGAGAAGAACTCGGGGGTCCTGGTGGACAAGGAGCTGGGCATGAGCCAGCAGTGTGCGCTTGCAGCCTGGAAGGCCGACTGTGTTCTGGCTGCGCTAAAAAAGGGGTGGCCAGCAGGAGAGGGAGGTGATTGTCCCCCTCTACTCAGCTCTTGTGAGGAGCTGAGTCTTGATAGGCTTGTCTTGATAGGACAAGGGGGAATGGTCTTAAGCTGAGACAGAGGAGGTTTAGGTTAGATATTAGGAGGAAGTTTTTCACTCAGAGGGTGTTGATGCAGTGGAACAGGTTGCCCAAGGAGGCTGTGGATGCCCCATCTCTGGAGGCATTCAAGGCCAGGCTGGATGTGGCTCTGGGCAGCCTGGTCTGGACCCTGCATGTAGCAGGGGGCTGAAATTCGATGATCATTGGGGTCCTTTTCAACCCAGGCCGTCTTACGATTCTATGAAATACTTGGTTACCTTGATTGGTGAGAGAGAGGTTCCTAGAGATGCAGAGGTAATCTCATACTTGGCATAGAATTCCAGTGTTGTTTTTTTTATATCAGTGAAGGTTTAATTACGCACCATACATCTGCAAATGTTGAGGGTTCAAAGGCAAGACAAATCTTTCTCTTGAGAAAATTGATAATTAAATACGTGGGGAAAAAAATCTCTTGTCAAATTTTGTCATGCTTATTTCCTGCTGGAAGTTTGAGATTTCCCGGATGTATTTCTGTACTGTCTGCTGGGGAAAAAGCTGCCAGTAAATATCGAAAAGATGATATTGTTGAAGTTATTTAAAAACTGAGAGTTTAGTAGTGCATGAATTATGCTTCAAATGTTGGGTTTTTTCATTCTGATTGCACTGAGTTAAGTTCATTGAGTAGTAAGTGAATGATAGAGATCTTAGTGGAATCCAGTAGTGCAAGACAGAGTCTCAACACCAGTGCTGTTTTTTGCTGTTGGTGTTAAATCTGGGTTTCCATCCCCTGATTTGGTTCTGGTGGTTTTTTTTGTTGTTCTGGAGGGTTATTCTTCTGCCTGCCATCTGGCCTTGGGAATGACTTGGTCTTTTTGTCCTAAGGAACTCCTTCTGTCATTTGTGCACTTAAAAACTATGTTTTTCAGCTGCAAAATCATCAAGTGTTAATATCTCTCCATGTAGATTTCCAGTAGGAGCACTGGTCTCAGTTAACAAAACCAGACACAACTCAATCCCTGCTCACAATTTCAACTAACGCGTGGTTTATCAGCTGCACACAGTGAAGACCATAAGGATGAATGCCACTGTAATATACCTGCTTTTCAAAGTCTGCACACTGACTTTGTATCTGCATGGAAATTTATCAAAATTTGCTGTTCTGGCACCGTTTTGCCAGAATAAGTATATCCACATGGCATTTATACCAAAATAAATATTCTGGAGTACTTTCTTCACTCGGTCTGAAATATGGGCAAGTTGTTAAATACTTCCAGACAAGAATCTGGGAACATCTGTGGGCTTCATTCACCATAGAAGTTTTTCTCCCCGTCTCTCACAGCATTGGATTTTTGTTTTAACCTTCATGCGTTTTTGTTTTGTTTTGTTTTACTTCATTAATATTTCTTTTTCATGTTTCAGTTTAAAAAGAGACAGGTATTAATGTAAAAGTTCACATAACCTCCTTGGCTCCCACGTGAACATACATAACCATTTATTTCCTTTGAGTGAGCTTAATGACTGAAAAAGTGGGACTGATTGGGTGTGGTGTGAAGTGACAATCGGTGCAAACACGGCAGGGACTTGCTGTGTTGACCTTCAGGCATCTACATCTGGACTCACCAACCTACCTTTCTTCTGCAGTCTTGAGAGAGAAATTTTTGGGTTAGAAATGACTGGGCCTGTTTCAAGTATCTGCTTTTTACTCAGTTGGGACTGTATGGGAATTAGTCGTGCGCTTCAGCTTTAGTACGTCTGCAGCACTTTGGGAGCAAAGTCCAAGGATGAAAACACCACCAGGGCACTATCATGTAGCTTCCCTCTGACAGACAAAAGCTGAACTTCTGCTGCTGGACTCCTGTCAGTCCTTCACTGCCTGGGCAGTCTGAACATTTTTCACAAAGTGCTGGACTGCAAACGGAATACTTTGCCCAGAACCGAGAGAACATATTCCAGACTTGAAGATTTCCCAAAATAAATACAAAACGCGAGGATTCTGGTCCCAGGCTGGATAGTTCCAAAACCATTCCAGGTTTCATGCTAGGCATGCTGCTTTCCTGTCTGACTACTGTGAATTTTGATTTAAAGGCTCTTCCTTTTTCTGTTGGCGAGAAGCTTGGAAGTTCTTTCACGTCTGTGCCATCCCAGCTTTGCCAGACTCCACGTTACTCTTGTGGTGAAAGATGAGGGAAGGTGCAGTAATGGTCCTGAACACGTGATGCAGTAGCGTGCACACGTTTCGTGCAGCATCTGAATTCTGTAGGATACAGAGATTACTTGTATTGATAGATGAGTGCTTGAAATGCTGACTATTTGTGCCTGACCATAGAGCAGTCCCTTTCTGAGATGTGCCACCTGGTAACTGACAGTATGTGTGTATGAGAACTTTGTTTTTTAGCCAAGAGAAGCCATTTCTGCCATGTGAGGCAGAGGTATTGCTTTGATAAACTGTCAGAGTTTTCACATAGCTCTAAAGAAACACGGCTGGAAGATGTTGATGGTACCTTCCTCTGAGCAAGAGAGCCGAGTTTTTAAACGTAGTTTTTTGAAGTGTTTGCCTTCACCTTCATCTTACATTTAACACTCAACGGCAATTTAAGTTTTGCTGTACATTGCAGTGCCACGCCAGGCATTCAAAATTTCAGACCTAGTGGTGAATAGTTCTTTTCATACATTTCCTTACTTCCCCACCTCCCTTGAAACGTTACAATAACAACACGCCTGCAGGATTTGCAAGACATTAATGAGCAGAGGCTGCTTTGAACTCATGCAAGGAGGTCTACGTTGCCTGTTTTTTCAGCTGTACTTCAGAGAGGTTCATCTGAACTACTTTTTTGTGCACGTTCCTTGTATAAATTGTATCTGAAGAAAAACAATTTGTTGAGATGGTCTGTTTGAATTTCACAGGACTCTAGTTTTACATAAACGTTGGCTGTAACACTGATTTGGGGACAATTCTGTGCTTTGAAAACATAGAGTTTATTAGTGACAGTAGGATAAACGCCATTTAATGTTCTTCTTCTGTTTTAGTAATAAGCTAGGTGGAGTTTTTAATAATTATTTCTAACGTGCATTAGTGAATGGGGGTTCTGTTCTCTTCTTTTTGAACCCGTCCCGCTGTTCTGCAGCGCATTAAATCTGGCAGAGATGGCAGTGCACGTAACCGCAGGGAAGGAAGTGCTGGTGGAGGTAAGTACTTAATGCCTCTGCTTAACTATCGGGCTTGTCAGGATTTGAAAGAAAATAGTTTGTCTTAAAATGTTTGTGGAACCTGCTTGCATTTATAAATGCACACAACCAAGCCTTGAGTTCATCATCCAGTAGTGTTCGGTGCGAGTTCAAGAGTATTTTGTGCTACCAACCCTGTAATTGGAAGACCTCTGTGTACCTTCTTGCTCCTTCTTTCTCGTTTCCCAGTAAGGCAGAGATGAAGTGCTAGAGGCTTCCTTGAAGAAAAGCTCATTCTCTTGACTGTGAAGTCTCTCTGCTCCCAGAGATCCACAGTGCTGAGTTTCCTAAATGTAAAACTGTAGGAAGGTAAATCTGGACGCTTGCCTGTGCAGTCTTTTCCTCACTAGGCAGTCGACTGATTGCAGAGCTAATGATTTTTCCCTTCCATTATTAAATCCTGAGACATTAATACTGTTAAACCTGACTGTTCCCCTCTGCTGTTCTGAGGAAACTACCAGAGTTCCGGCTACTTTGGCCAGCCGGAATAAAGTCCATTTTGACCCAGATAGGAAATTATTCCTTGCTGTTCTGCTCTCATTTTATTTTACAGCATTCAGTCTCAGAACTG